CCGCGCCCGCCGCGGGCGCCGCCAAGGCCCCGGGCGCCGCCGCCGCAGCGCCGAGCGCCCCTCCGGGCGGCCAGGGGGGCAGCCGCCTGGGCGGCGCTGGTGCCGCGGGGAGCGCCGCTGCGCCGCAGCCCGCCTCGGAGGGTCCCGTGGCCACGGTGGCGGCCGCGGCGGCAGCCGCGGCTCCTCCAGACTCGACGAGGGACAGTCGACTGGACAGCCTGGGGGCGGTGGAGGCCGCACACCGTGCGCACGTGGGCAAGGTCGCCAAGAAGGAGAAGAAGCTGAAGACAGCGGACACGGAGAAGAAGAAAGGTAAGCCCAGCGAGTCGGGCCGCGTGAAGCAGGGTCTTCCTCCGCTGATTGCAGCACTAGAGGACGCAGCATCGCTGGACACCCTCTCTGACGTCCTCCAGAAGAGCAGCAGCTCCAACGGGGATGCAGACATCGCTGCTGCTGCGGCGGTATTGCGGCGCTTGCCCCTGCTGCTAGCCTCAGCAGCTGTGCCTACCAGCATCAGCCAGGAGGCGTTGGACAAGCGCTTGGACGCGGGAGAGGCGATCCAGGCCCTGGCGCTGCCCTCGAAGTGGCAGCAGAATGGCGCCGCCCCGGCTTGCAAGGACGCGGCTGATGCAGCGGGGCCTCAGGCCTTCCTGTGGGCGCACGAGCGGGTGGAGGAGGTGCTAGATGCCGCAGACGCTCGTGCCAAAGCGCCCTTGTCGTGGCTGGCAGAGGTGGCGCGCTTCTACGGTACCATGCGGCCCGGGCCGCCCCTGCCCAAGCACGTGGTGGAGGACTGCGCGGACGAGGCGCTGCGGAGGCTGGAGGCAGGCGAGGCCCACGCTCAGGGCGAGAACCTGGCGCTCATGTGCCGGCTCGCGCGAGGCCTAGCCACCAGCGGGGTGCTGATGAGGCACGGGGTCTTCCGCGCGCTGGCCGAGCGCGTCACGGAGGCCATGCGCGCGTGCGCCGACTCGTCGGATGAGCCCAGGCCCTGCTGGAGCTCGCTGCACGACTGCGCTCTGGCGCTCGCGCTGGTGCGCCCGTGGGGCCCCGACCTGGCCCCGAGCGCGGGGTCGCTGCTGGGAGCGCTCCCGCTGTCCATGCCGCTGCCGCCAGTCGTGTCGGGCGAGGCCGAGTGCTCACCAGCGATGGCGTTCGAGACGATGGCTGGCCAGCGCATGGGCGAGGCAAAGGAGAACCAAGATGCTTGCTTCGCCAAGGCGTCGGGGGATTTGGCGGTACTGGCCATCGTCGACGGGCACGGCAAGCACGGCGCAGCACTCGCTCACGCTGCCTTGTCCACGCTTGAGAGGGTGCTGTTCTGCGCACCCTCAGGGCCTGGCGCGGAGCAGGCGTTCGCGGACGCGATGCTGGCCACAGACGCCGCCCTCATGCTCAACACCGGTTTTGACGTCGAGCTGACTGGAGCCTCCAGTGCCTGCGTTCGGGTCGAGGGCATCCGCGCCGCTGCGGGAGGCCGCCGCCTTGTGGTCGCTCACCTGGGAGATTGCCGCGCACTGCTCGGCCGACGCGAGGAGACTCCTGCAGGCGCGGCCTGGCGGACGGTGCGGCTCACGGAGGATCACAGGCCCGGCGACGCGGTCGAGGCCAGGCGTCTCGTGGCCGCCGGAGGCCGCGTGAGGCGCGTGAAGCCGCCGGGCAGCAAGCCCACGGACACGTTCCTGGGGCCGCCGCGGCTGTGGCACCGCGCAACTGGCCTGGCGCCCGGGCTCGCGATGAGCCGCGGCCTCGGCGACGTGCTCGGCAAGGGCTGCGGGCTCTCGCCGCAGGCGTGCGTCCGGGAGGTGCCCGTCGGGCCCGAGGACGCCGTGCTGGTGGTCGGTTCGGATGGCGTGTTCGACGTCTGCTCGGACGCAATCGTCATGCACTGCTGCCGCACGTTCTGGGCCGACCGGGATGCCGCCAGCGCGGCGTCGGCGATCGTGGACTCGGCGAAGCGGGCCTGGGCTTCGCGGGGTCCCAGCTACCGGGACGACGTCACTTGCGCTGTGATGTTCTTGTAGAAGTCGCAGAGGAGTTTGCTTCTGTGCGGCCTGAGGAGCATGCCCTACCGCGGTGTCCTCTCAAGCTTTCGACGGGCAGGTCCATCGCGGTCACAGCAGCGACCTTGGGCAGTGTGCGCTCCTGCTTCATGCAGAGGGTGCGTGATTGGTAAGGGGCACCGATTGCCAGATGCAGTAGAGCACGACGCTGTACCCCTACATGCGGTACACCGACGGGAAGCCCTCAGCACGTGAACCGCCGCCAGCAATGAGGAGCTCGAGTTCATCGCGCACATGGGTTCGGCGCTGCGGTTGTCCAGTGAGAAGTGTCTTTCCCACCAGGCCGACTTGGACCTGTCATTCTGCGTCGCCTGCAGCCTGTCCTTCGAAGTGGGCCCCCGTGGACGAGGACACGGACAGCACAGGCGGAGGCAAGACGGGCCAGATGGAGCTGCGTGATGGCTGTCTAGCTGCTTGCGCCAAGTCCCGCCCCATTGCTAGTCCAGCATGCTCGGTGGCGATTGTGCGATGGGGCACCGGATGCCTCTTAGATGTTCGTTGGGACATCGTGGGAGGCCTCTCGTGCCGTCTGGGGGCAGTTTTGAGGCCCCTTGGGGGCCGTCTGGGGTCCTCTTTGGGGCCTCTTGGGGGCCTCTTGGGAGCCTCTTGGGGGCCTCTTGAGGATTATTGGAGGCCTCTTGGGGCTTCCTGAGAGCCTCTTCAAGCGGAAAGCGCGAATTGTCGGTTCGTGTTCCCATCTTGGGCCCTTCTTGGGGCCGTCTTGTGGCCCTCTAGGGCTGTCGTGGGCGCCTCTTGAGCCGTTTCGGGGCCCTCTTGGGACCCTCTTCTTAAGGGCCTCTTGGGGCGGTCGTGGGGCCCCCTCGGGCCGTCTTGGAGCGTGGGAAGGTCGAAAAGGGGGTAACGTGAAAAACATCGAAAGACACAATGGAAATCAATGATTGTTGCCTCTTTGGGCCATCTTGGGGTTCGTCTCGGAGCGCTCTTGGGGCTTCTTTGGGACCTCTTAGGCCGTCTTGGAGCGCTCTTCGGCCGTCTTGGTGGATTTGATGACCTCCCAGGTCCGTATTGGAAGCCAGCTTGGGTATCTTGGGCGCCTTGGAGCGTGCCAGTGACGTGTCTTGGCACCGACAGAGGCGCTTCCCGAGTAGGTGGCGGCCTCTTAGAAGATTACAGAGACCATGCCAGACAGCACTCGGCGATGAACCACGCCTCAACGTGCCAGGGGGCACGGTGGCGGATAGCGAGAGTGCGGCGCGCGAAGATCTTGGCATGATCCGCAGTCGCAACTAGAGCCAGGCGGCGGGGACAAGGACGCGGAAGGACGCTCACACGCGCAGTTGTTTCGATCATTAAGTTAAGATGCAGTCACTCGTTTTGGGCCAGCGTCTCTCCAGTAGTTTCCTGGAAGCTTGCTTGGTCTCTCTGCCCCCGTGGGAGTGCAAGGGGCCACACGGGTCGGGCTGGCCCAGCGATTGTTTGCTATGGATCCCAGGAGTCGTTTGATGCTTATCAGTTTTCGAACGTATCATTCGTTTCCTTCGCATTCTACGTCTTATTATGGCTGTGCCTTTTCGTTCGCTTCTGCTCCGCTTCTCCGTCCCATCCACCTTTTCCTCCACCTTCCCCTTCTCCCATTCATTCGATGTCGCCTCCTTCTTCTGCTTACTCACCCGCCTGTACCCCCCCACTTGCGCATAAGCAAGGCACGTGCGGTTGACAGGCGATGCAAAACTCGCTCGACTGAGGCTGCTGTCTGTTCCCCCGGTGTGTTGCTCAGACGACTGGGGAAGCACATGCAATCCAAAGTGAAGGTCTCTGGGTTGATTTGGGGCGCTCCTGGGCGTTCTTGGGGGCATCCAGGAGGGGACAAAACACACAGACACAATTAATCGTCGACTCCCAGATAATACTAGAACCACGCGCGCGCTTCGCGCGCGCCTAGGTTCTAGCTAGGAGGCGAGCTTGAGTCAACGAAAGTCGCAGGGAAGGGGGCAGGGGGAAGAAGGCCAGAGAGCGCTGAAGGATACAAATACTGGAACCCTCTTGTGATTTTGTGGGGGGCCTCGTCCGGCCGCTCGCTGGGAGTTTGACGTAGCTTCTCGGGAGCCTCTGAACCTGTCGGGGGCCTCCTGGAAGCAGGTTCGAAGCATTTTGGGGGCCGATTTGGGGCTTCTCGGGGCCTCCTTTGGGCCTCTTGGGGGTCTCCTGGGGCCTCTTGAGGGGCCTCCTTGGGGCCTCCTGGCGGCCTCTTGGGGCGGAAGGCTCGAGCTTGCGGTTCGTGGTCCCCCTCTGGGCCCCCTCTTGGGCCCGTCTTGGGGCCCTCTTGGGCCATCTTGGGCGCCTCTTGGGCCGTCTTGGGGCCCTCTTGGGCTGTCCTGGGGCCCTCTTGGAAGCTTCTTGGGCCGTCTTGGGGCGGTCTTGGGCGCCTCTTGGGCCGTCTTGGACGCGGTGAAAGCCCAAGAGGCGAACATGCGAAAAATATACGTTGTCCCATAGGAATGGCACGACTTTTGCTTCTTGGGCCTCTCTTTTTTTTTTTGTTCGTGCGCCCTGGCACTCATAAACCAGCGCGAGAAACTCGCAGCCTCAACAGCAACGCTTTGTTGTGTCGACTCTTGGACAGTGCAGCGGCCACGTACACCCTGCCGCATTCGCAGGAGGTGAAACTCGGAGCGCTCGCGGCCCGACGCCATGCCTGCCGCATCGGGCCTGCGAATGGCTGTCTCGCGGGCGTGCACTGCAAGGCACGAAGGCTACTGCTGGAATGGTCCCGCAACTCGTAGGGTCAAGAGTGCAGCACAAAAAGATACATACCCAGAAGTGTCGATGCAGCAGCGTTTCGTTTCCCGTTTGGGGCCGATTTGGGGCTTCTCGGGGCCTCCTTTGGGCCTCTTGGGGGTCTCCTGGGGCCTCTTGAGGGGCCTCCTTGGGGCCTCCTGGCGGCCTCTTGGGGCGGAAGGCTCGAGCTTGCGGTTCGTGGTCCCCCTCTGGGCCCCCTCTTGGGCCCGTCTTGGGGCCCTCTTGGGCCATCTTGGGCGCCTCTTGGGCCGTCTTGGGGCCCTCTTGGGCTGTCCTGGGGCCCTCTTGGAAGCTTCTTGGGCCGTCTTGGGGCGGTCTTGGAGGCCTCTTGGGCCGTCTTGGACGCGGTGAAAGCCCAAGATGCGAACATGCGAAAAATATACGTTTTCCCATAGGAATGGCACGATTTTTGTTTCTTGGACCTCTCTTGGGGTGCCTCTCGGAACGTCTTGGGCTGATTTTGGAAGCCTTTTGGCGCCTCTGGGCGGCGTTTTGGCGCCTCCTGGGATATGTTGGGCCGGAAGCTCGGAATTCGAGAGTGGCTTTCTCCTTCTGGGACCCCTCTCGAAATCGTCTTGGGGTTCTCTTGGGCCGTCTTGGGGCCGTCCTGAGCCACTCGTGCGCAGCCTTGGAGCGCTCCCGGAGGCCTCCTAGGCCGTCTTGGAGGCCTCTTGGGCCGTCTTGGACGCGGTGAAAGCCCAAGATGCGAACATGCGAAAAATATACGTTTTCCCATAGGAATGGCACGATTTTTGTTTCTTGGACCTCTCTTGGGGTGCCTCTCGGAACGTCTTGGGGTGCTTTTGGGAGCCTTTTGGCGCCTCTTGGCGGCATTTTGGCGCCTCCTGGAGCCTCTTGGGCCGGAAGCTCGGAATTCGAGGTTGGCTTTCTCCGTCTGGGACCCCTCTCGAACTCGTCTTGGGGCTCTCTTCGGCCGTCTTGGGGCCGTCCTGGGCCACTCGTGCGCAGCCTTGGAGCGCTCCAGTGCCTTGGAGCGCTCCCGGAGGCCTCGTAGACCGTCTTGGGCGCCTTTTGGGCCGTCTTGGACGCGGTGAAAGCCCAAGAGGCGAACATGCGAAACATATACGCTTTCCCATAGGAATGGCACGATTTTTGCTTCTTGGGCCTCTCTTGGGCTGCCTCTCGGAGCGTCTTGGAGGCTTCTGGGACCTTCTTGGTGTCATGACAGGCGTCTTGGAAGGCATCTGGAGCCATCGGAGCGCGTTCCGAAGCCGCCTGCGAACGATCTTGGACGGCGTCCGGCGGTCCGACGAGCCTCCGGGCCCCCCGGGGCCCACATTTGTGGTCGAGGTCCCGGCCCCGGGCCCCCGGACCCGGTGCGCCGTTATATGCATATGGGAAAATATGGGAAGTGGGGGGGAAGACAAAAACTCAGAAAATATGAGAACATATGGGATTTGTTTTATTCGTGTGTACTTATTTGTGTGTCCCAGGGCCCCTTCAGGCATCCTGGGTACCCCGTGGGACCCTCTTGGGTCTCTCTTGATCTTTCACGGGCGCCTCGAGGCCGTCTTCGCCGTCCAGTGGGGCTGCCTTGGAGCTCTTGAGGTCCTTTTGGGCCGCCTTCGGACTCGCTTGGGCCGTCTCGGGGCTCCCTCGGGCCGTTTTGAGCCCATCATCCTGGAGCGCTCTGGGGGCGTCTTGAGCGCCTCCGGAAGCTACAATTGAATACGGATGGCGCGTTGTTGCAGTGCTCGTCGGAGTCTGATCTTGGCGTTTTGCCGTGTGCTGACACGCGGTGGATGCTCACTGTCCTCGTGGACATTCGCGCGCTCGTCCTGGCGCTGAAACGGGGGGTGGGCCGTCTTGGGGCCTCAAGACGCCCGATGCCCCTCGTGGGTCGCCCCAGGGCCCTGTTGGGGGTCTTCCTGGTTCGAGTTAAGGGTCCTCCTGTCGGCGGCGCGCCCAGGGGGAAGGCAGCGGGGTGGGTGGGCCTTCTCAGAAGGCTCAGATCGAAGAAGAAACAAATGCATAAACAAAACAGTTTGGGCGCGGACCGTCGACCTGTTATCTTTATGCCCTTTTTCTTTGTTCTACAGGAGGCCTCCAGACTTCTGAGAAGCTTTCTAAGCGCTCTCCGAAGCCCTGCCGCTTTGAGAAGGCATGCCCCCTCTCACTTCCCTCCTGGCCTCACCGCCAATCTTGGGCCGTCTACGGGTCTTGATGAATTTCGCCTTGTGGTGGACTTTTGGTCATGCCCCAGAGCCCCTCTCGGGGAGTCTCCAGGGCCCCTCGAGCCGTCGTCGGGCAGTCAGAGAAAGCCCACCCAGCGAAGTCGATTAAGGAGTCGGCACTGGGTCCACTCGACACTGGCATTCGTGGTGTACCGATGCAGGCTCCCGTCGGCTTCGCTAATCTGCATGTGCTTTGTCAGGTAGACTCGGTATTTCTTGGGGCGTCGATGAAGTACCCCTCCTGGATTTAGTCGAAATGCGGTACCACGCGCACCCGTGGAGTATCGCGGGTAGATGTCCCTAAAGGGCGTTAGGCGAAATTGGGGCCCAGTCAATCTTCGAACCTAGGAGTTTCTCGGACTCCATCTTGGTCGTTTTGGAGCCCGTCTTGGGCGCTTCACGCACCTTGCTGGGGTCCCAGCGCACGGGGCTGAAAGGCCAGCACGCAGCTTTACGTAGGGACGAAGCAGCGCCTTGAAAGTTCGGCACACCAGGCTTAAGTCGGGCATGTCCCCCTACATGAGGAAAACATAAAAGCATTCTCAAAGCATAGCCTGGCAACGATGTTATGTTTTTGCTTCTGGCTATGTTTAAGCATCTTGGGGGTATGTTTGAGTGGTTCCTGGGACATGTGAGCGCGGCGACATTGCACGGTGATGTAGCATAACGTTCATTGCCTCACACATGTATGTCGTACCTAGCACGGCACAGTGAGCACGCGATGCGCATACGTATCTGCATATTGTTCCCTGAGCGTCCACTAAGCATGTACCTACATGTCTGAACGCAGGTTGGGAGGGTTGAGCCTAGTGTTTCGCCCTCTCGTTTTGCTCTAATTCGGAGGTTTGAGACGGTCTAGGGCCGACGAGGGGCCCAAGGCTTTATAGGCCCCCACGGGCTCCCTCAGGCGCCCTACCGCTTCGCCCACTGACAGTACCAGCAGCAACGCAGGACGCCGACAGGCGCCCAATCTTCCCAGGCCCGTGCCCCGCGCATCGAAGCCGAACTGCTGCCGATGTCGCTCGCTCGCTCCTCCTCCTCCTCCTCCTCCTCATCCTCCTCCCTCGCCAACTACGACGTACGCCTCGGGCGGGGGCGGTCGTGGGGATCCGGCGCAGCCTCTGAGGCCGAGGTCGCGGAACGATTCCCTGTAGCAGTTCTGCCGTTCCAGCTCCTCTGCAGTCGCTGGGAGGCCTGGGGGCAGACGCGGGGCAGTCTCGCAGTCCCCATCTAAGGCCTCGTGGGCCTCTCGGGCAGCTGGGACGCCGTCTGGATCGACCCGAAGGCCGCCTGGAGGTCAGCCGAAGACAAACTGGGGCCCCCTCTGACGGCAAAGTAATGCCATCCGATGTTCGTTACATCCTTTCCGGTTGGGAAGGGGGGGAGGCTTGGGACCATCATGTGGGGTGGGGGGCTGTGTGCTGGGTGGTCTTGCGGCATTATGTGGATCCTTTTCGGCTTTGTGAGGGTCATCAGGGGCCCTCCTCCCAGAAGGTTTAGTTTTGGAGTGCATCCTGGGGCCGAGGGGTTCGTAGACCAGTGGCCCCCCTAATGAGGGTGACACGAGGCACGTTGGTTTCTGGAGTCCAGAACGCTGGGACGAAGTGCCACTGCAATTCTCTTAGCGCCCGTTTCGTGAGGGGGGGTCTTGCGGTCTTCTGTGTCCCTTGTCTGCAAGACTACGTGAGATTCCACGCACACCTGCAGCAGGCGGATGAACAGCAGGATCCGTTCTTGCTTTACTGCGCACCTTGCTGCTACGTTCGACAATTCACTGATACCTCTCCTGTCCTCATCTGTGCCAGAAGTTTCTGCGATTCCGTGCCACCGTTAGGGCGTCTCCATCTCACGCCATCTTCGCTCAGCGCAGACTCCGACCCGCGCTGCTCAAGCTGGCAGGGTCCCCGCTTTTACGCCAGCTCCGCTAGCAGGCTTGTCGAGTGGAACAGTTGATGAGAAAGCAAGCAGGATGAGTTTGATGGGTGGGGCGCATCTCGATTCATCGAAGCAGAATGGAGGATTCGAGAGCCACTGTGGAAGGACTTGGTGAACATGCTGGCTACGCGTGTTTCACTTCTTATGGGGTCGCGAGGGTCTGGACGGGGATCGTACTCATGTTTGCCACCTGCATCCCGCATTGCTGAAAACGATGACTGCGATTGGGACGACCATTGTTCTACCAAGCGCGAAGTCAGGGATGCCATGTCTAGCACGTTCACCTCATCTGGGGCTCTTGGAGTAGGTATTGTTCCATAGTTCTTTATTTTCTTCCACACGTGTCGAATTGGGTGCGTCCCGACGGCCTGCTCAAGTACCAGCACATGTATACATTTACTGGCCGATGTGTGCTGCCATAGGCCTAGGTCTGTCTTCTATTGTCCACCCCTTCTCCACATCCTATATGTCCTTCTCCCATTCCTCTTCCCTCTACGTCCCTTCGCTCAGCCGTGTCCCTTCCGTTTCCTCGTTGGGCTCTCTTGGGGCCTTCTTGGGTCTTTTGGATGGTCCTTTGTGGCCCTTCGGGGGCTCTTTTGGGTCTCTCTTGGGGGCCTCTTGGGCTGTTTCATGGCGATCTTGGAGGCTCTTGGGCCCGCTGAGACGCTCTCACAACCAAGATTCCAGGATAGCCTCTTGGGCTAGATAGGGTTGTCAGAAGAGAAGCCGGCGGGTGCGCGTGCGCCGCCACACCCCTCCGCCCACCGCTCCACGTTCCCTTCTGTGGCTCCCCGGGTTCTGCAGCGAGTCCCGGAGCGCTTGTTCCAATACGTTCCCGTGGAACGTGCCCCAGAGGCCCCACGAAGCTTCCCGGGCAGCGTGCCGTCACGCGTGCACCGAGCCCCCACGCGTTCAGGCACGAGTGAAAGCGTCGCTGTCAGCGATTCAGACACTGTTCAGGTGCGCTTCCCAGCAACCGTCGACCTCCGCTTCGTGCGATTTCCGCTGCTTTCGCGCACGTCTAAGGCATCTGGTCGCACCCCATGCACACAGAGCGTGCAGAGCAGTCTAAGGCGAGCGCCGGGGCACGCGCGGCGCCGGAGGCACGACCAGGAGTGGCGCTTGCGCAACGAGACCCGTGCGCGCGCGTCTCTCGCTTGGCTATCCGGGTTTTGAATAACAACAGGTGCTGAACACATGCGCTTCCCAGCAGATGTTTGTGTTCGTGGGGATTTCGTTCGGGGCCTCCAGGGCTGTCTCGGGGAGTTTTAGGCAGTTTCGAAGTCATCTTGGACATGTCCCAGGAACTCCCGGAAGCCAGCGAGGAGGTCTTGGAGGCCGAACGCGAAGTCCGGAAGGCCCATCTGGCGGGCCAGAGAAAGCCTCATCAGCCCCAGGGGACGGGCCAGAGAGCCTCAAGGGCACCTCGGACCGCCAGATTATTGGGGGGGGGGCCATCCTGGTGAGTTCCCTCGTCTGAGATAATACAGCTAATATTAATCATGAGCGTACAACACCCAATAAGAAAAGCAATAATGCTAAATGTAAGAATGTCAACACGTATATGAGTAATTGTGTATAGGCACATATATGTGTGCATACTGATGTACACGCTCCTCTGACAGTCCCGGGGCCTGGTGACAGCCCCCGAGGGCCGAACATTGCCATAAACCTTCCGCGAGCGCCTGCTGAAACGGCGTGGGCACCGCGGCCATACTTGATGGGGACGCGCAGCAGCGATCCTGTGTGTAGAGCCTGGGTGCATAACCATATACAGCACCACAGCCAGTAGAGAGAGTGATTCACCCTCCATCCATGCCTGTGGCTGGCAGACGCCATGATTAAATCGCCCGCGACGATGAAGCGCGAGCACGACTTCGGAAAGGAACCGCCTCATCTGTGCCACCAGTGAGAACTCAATGTCTAAAGTCACGCCGTCCGCGGCCGCATCGCGATGTTTCCCACGACGCGAGGACGTCAAGAGGCTTGTCCCCCCCCCACGGCGCCGGGCGAGAGAGAGGGCACCCGGAGGCCCCAGGGGGCCGAAGATTGCCAAGACCCTCTCCGTCGTCATGTCTGTCGCGCCACGAGGAGGTCCGGGCCCGGAGGTACAGGATCTGTCCCCGGGATGGTTCGGGGGCCGGCGGTGGCCAGAATTTTGAGGTGGAGCCAGCCGTGCCGACGAGGAGCCCCCCGGAGGCCCCCGAAGGGGCGGCAAACGTCCAAGTTGGATCGTCGAACTTCGAATCCCGAACTCGTGATGTGGGGATGCCACGGGGAAACGAAGAATGGCACGAGCATGGACTTCCGGGAGGCCCGTGCTGATCTTTCGGATCGGTGCCGCCAGGGATTCTCCAGCGCCGACCCGAGAAACATCCATGCGGGCCTCCGAAAGCTCACGTCCATGCCATTCGTTGTGCTTCGATGCCTACAGCCAAGACGCTGAAAGAAGGAACACTTTGCATTCGGGAGGGGCTCGATGTCCCCTGCGTCCTTCCGCGGCTGTTCCTCTAGCCCCTCTCGTGCACCCAGGCGTTTTTTGAATCCACAGAGGGACTTCGTTCCTTGTTTAGCGTTCCTTACAGTCGGGGCCCTGAAGAAGGAACCCTTTTCGTTGGGGAGGGGCTCCGCGTTCCTTAAGTGTTTCACAGCTTGCCTCAGGCTTTCCTCATGCATTATCGACAGGAAGTCGAAGGTTCACTTATGGAAAAAAAGGGGCCTCGCTCCTTGTTTAGGGTTCCTTAGGTCAACGCCCCGACTGTATTTCGGCAGCCCGACTGCACCCGGGCCCCCCTCCGCCTCCGCGGCGCCGGGCCAGGCGGCCCGCAGCGCCCTGCCAATGTCGGCCGCGCCGCCCCTGCCGCCCCCGTGGGGCGGCCGCCTCGGCCGGCCTGCCGGTGGGCGGGGGCTCCGTCGGGCCGGGTGCCGCGCGGGGCCGAAGGGGGGTGGTCGTCAAGCAGTGGCGGAGCGTCCTGGCGTGCCCATAGGCCGACGAGGCAATGGTCTGAGAACAGTTTGAGGTCTCCACGACATGTTCTCAGAACATTTCTGGGTGAGACCGTCTCGTTTCAACACATCGGGTGTTCGTCAAGCAGTGGCGAAGCGTCCTGGCATGCCCATACAGTCGGGGCGCTGAAGAAGGAATCCTGTTCGCTGGGGAGGGGCTCGGTGTTCCTTGATTGTTGCAAAGTCTGCCTCGGGTGTTCCGGAGGTTTCCCAGGGGAAATCGAGGTTGAACTGACGGGAAAAAGGGGCCCCGTTCCTTATTTAGGGTTCTTTAGGTCAACCCCTCGACTGTAGGCCTACCAGACAATGTTCTAAGATCATGTTGAGGTCTCCACGACATGTTCTCTGAACCTTTCTGGTTGAGACCGTCTCGTTTCAACACATCGTGTTCATGTTCTAAGAACATCGCCTTTGTTCCGAGAACAGCTTTGGGTTCTAAGAACAGTTCGTGGTAGGACTATAGGACTGCCTGGACGGTCGGTCTCTGCTCAAAAGGGGGTGTTCGGCAGCAGAGGCTCAGAGTCAGCGTCGATTGGCGTCTATGTAGCGTTAAGTCGGGCATGTCCCTCTACAGGAAGAATATCCCAAACCAGTCAAAGAATAGTCTGGGGACGATTTCTGGACTATTTCCGGTTATGTTCTGAATGTTCCGACCATTTTTCATTTTTCTCCCAACATCCGCCTGTAGGGGGACATGCCCGACCTAAATGTGGCGTCAACTCGCGTCGATTAGGCGTCGGTTGGCGTCCGCTCGCAAGAGCCAGCAAGATGACTCGGGAGTCTTCCGTGAGTTGCCACAGAAGAGGGGTGGAAGGGACCTTGACGCGCAGCCATGGCAGCCTCACCAAACGTGGCGGCGCGCACAGCCCATATCCCCGACGGTGTACTGTTTCCAGCCAGCGGTTAGCAGCCGCCAGCGGCCGTTTCCGCGCCCTGGGACAATCCGGCATCCAGAGCCGAACCCCCATGCTCCCCTCACATCCTCGCGTCGTGTCGAAATCACTACGGCGAGGAAGTTTTGCGGCAGTCTTCAGCTTCCGGGGGCCTCCGGGGCCGAGCAACGATTGTCCACGGGATGGGAAACCGTCCGTTTGAATGCGGCCCAGACTTGTGGGGAGCACAACATTAATTCAACAACACCCCAACAGACATATGCATGTATATGCATATGTAGATATAAACGTATATACGCAGAGAGATATCATGTAACCGACGACCGGGTCCCTGGGCCCAGGATCTTCCACTTTTTCAAAACTCCCCCACCTCCCCGCACCCGACTTTAGTCCCTGGGGCCAGCGGGCACTTTCCAGCGTTCCGAGCGATTCTCCAGGCCCCCAAGGGCCCCCAGGACGGCTCCAATGGACGCCAAGGGGCCGCCATGACAGACCAACGTGGCCGAGTAGGTTCCTAGATGGTCACAAGGCGGCCAGAACAGACCCTTAGGACCGCGCGAACGGGTCCAACAGGGCCCGCGAAAGGGCCTCGGAAGGCAAACCCGCTGATTTTTCAAAGGATTTGTTTTCAAGAGGCTTGCAAAGGGACCCAAGCGGCCAACATCAGTGAAGTACAGTAGTAGGTGAACCATGCGTTTTTGAAGATCTTGCTGGTTTGCTTCCGATGGGCTTCTGAGGCTTCTGGATGGTCGTCAAATGGCCCCAGCGTGCCCCAAGAGGAGGCCCACCAGGCCACAAGACAGCCTTGAGGGCGCTCAAGAGTCTCCCAAGACGGCCCAAAGAGACCTTCAGAGTCCCCCCTGACGGCTCCCGAAAGCGTCAGACAGATTCAGAGCGCCCCAGAGGAGCCTGAGGGAGGCCCCAGACGGTCGATTTGGGCCCCCGGGACCCTTCAAGATGGCCCGAGACGGCCCAAGATGGCTGAAAAAAACGGCCCTCAAGGCCGTCAGGACGGCCAACATCCCCTCCAGACGGCCAAGACAGCTCAAGATGGCTGCCAGACGGCCACAAGATACCCCGAAGAGGCTCCCAAGAGGCCTCCTAGAGGCCCCCAAGCCCCCAGGAAGCCCAAATCCTTCGGTTCGGCCTCCTATGTCATCCTGAGTCAGAGGCCTCTCGAGGCCACGAAATATTTGCTACTTAAGGCGCTCTAAGTGCGACGTCTTTTCCTGATTCCGATGGTCGTCCAGAATCATATGTTTCATCGGGTAAGGGCTTCTTGAGTCTCAAAACACTCCGCTGCACCTAAGGCGCTCAAAGTACAGCGGCGTTTCACCCCCCAGGTCAGATGGTCGCACGGCCTGCTCTGATGCTTGACGCAAGCGCTTCTGTAGTGCCATAACATGTCAGGGCTAGCGTGCACTGGTGTGCTGACCTCCTTGTGGGGCACGGTCCGCGTAAAAGGAGCGCAGAATAAACCGGATGTCCCAGCGAGAGCGTAGGGAGGGTTCCTTGTGGGCCACGACCCGTGTGGGGCATGCTCCGAAATAGGCGGGGGGACGCCGTGCGAAGTTGCCCAGTTTGCCATAGGGGTTCCTTGCAGTGCGCGATTCGCCTGAGGGGTGTGCCGAACTGGGCGGGGGGTGCTGTGAGAACCTGGTGTCTGGGGCCGTAGGCGGTGCTCCCTGTTGAGCACGATCCGTGTGAGTCGCGTGCCGAAAAGGGCAGGGAAGCGTCATGCCCACGTTGTCGCTGCGGCGGTATATGAAGCTATCTGTGGGACGATGCGTGAGAGGAGTGTACCGAAGTAGGCGCGGGGGCGGCATGCCAACCTTGTCTCTCGGGCCCAAGAGGGTCCAAGCGCTCCAAGAGAGGCCCCTCACTACCATCGTATCAGAGCGGTTGGTTGTGTTGTGCATCCATCCAAATCGTGCTCCTGTGTTCTGTCATGCTTCGGAGGGAGACCCTGTGATGATGATGACGATGATGATGCTGAGGATGAGGATGAGGATGAGGATGAGGATGATGATGAGGAGAAGGAGGAGCAGGTGGAGGGATTGGAAGTGGAGCTGGAGAAGGACAACGATGATAATGATGGCAAGAAGGGAGGAGGGATGAGTATGTACGGCGAGGAGGATCAAGGAAGAGCTGTAAGAAGGGTTCAGGATGCGACGGCGGAGGAAGAGGAGGAGGAGGAAGCTATTCCCATCATGTGCTTCTGGGGCGACTGATGCTGGAGTCCTCTTGACATCCGTCTTGGGAGCCCTCCCTCCCGATGCCTTAACACCTTCTGACGAGCCACGGCGCGAAGGAGGAAGAGGAGGAGGAGGAGGAGGAGGAAGAGGAGGAGGAGGAGGGGAGACCTGGGGAGGAGGCGACCCACGTGCTGGCGTTGTGTGCGCTCGGTCTCCTCAGTCCACGTGCTTCCCCCTCTCCTCCTCCAAGTGGACGGGCGGAGGGGAGAGAGACGAGAGAGAGAGAGAGAGAGAGGCAGAGAGAGAGAGAACAAACAAACGACCAGAGAGAGAGAGAGAGAGAGTGCGCAGGAAGGGCGCAGGAGGAAGGAGAGGAGAGCGAGAATGGAGGGACAGCGGGCTGAAGGAAGGAGCCAGAGGGAGGAGGACTTAGGGGGGGTAGGAGACGGAGCAGAGATTGGAGAAGGCTAGTAACGGGAGGAGTGCAAGTAAGTCTTGAAACGGGTCGAAGCACTTGCAACATGGACATGGCGATACGCACCCACCGTGCCGAGACGGTGGCCTGCGTTGCGCTAGAACCCCAGCGCGCGTGGAGCACGCGCGTGGTTCTAGTACTCAAACCATGAGTGCGTCGCCCCCACCTGGGCGACGCGCGCGCCGAGAAGTCTGATAGTAGAAGGAAGCTCTGTGGCGGGCGCCTGCTGGCCATAATCGCACGATCTACTACGAGATGGCTCGAGTATATTTGTGTCGGACGCTCCAGGGAGGAGGATGATGATGAGGAGGAGGAGGAGGAGGAGAAGGAGGAGGAGGAGGAGGGGAGGAGTGCAGGGCAGTAGGAGGAGGAGGAGGAGGAGGAGGAGGAGGAGGAGAGGGGATGGGGAAGAGGAGGAGGAGGAGGACGACGACGAAGAGGAGGAGGAGGAGGACGAGGAGGAAGAGGAGGAGGAAGTGGAGGACAGGGGCAGGGCGAGAAGGAAGGCGAGGAGGAGTGCCGCCGCTTCTGCTGCCGCCGAGTTCCTCCTGTCTCTCTCTCCGTCCTGTGCCCCTGGCTTGGGCTTCGGACCTTCCGCCCGATGCTTGGCCGACCGACCGAGGAGGAGGAGGAGGAGGAGGAGGAGGAGGAGGAGGAGGAGGAGGAGGAGGAAGAGGAGGAGGAGGAGGAGGAGGAGGAGGGGGAGGGGGGAGGGGGGGGGGGTAGGAGGAGGAGGAGGAGGAGGAGGAGGAGGAGGAGGAGGAGGAGGAGAGAGGAGGAGGAGGAGGAGGAGGAGGGGGGAGGGGGAGGGGGAGGAGGAGGAGGAGGGAAGGGGGAGGAGGAGGAGGGGGAGGAGGAGGTGGAGGTGAAGGAGGAGGAGGAGGAGGAGGAGGACCACGTGAGGACGCAAGATTCGACCCATCTTTCACAGCACCCGCAGAATGAGCACCGGCCCCAGCACAGTTCAAGCTGGACCTCGAGGTGCTCACTAAGGAGGTCACCTACGCGGCGTTGGAGGTGGAACCAGACTACGTGCCAGCGAACACCCCCAGAGGCTGAATGAAGTCCCTGTACAACCACCACTACACGCTCGCCTGCTTGGGTGCTACCAACCACACATCGAGAGGGGACGCCAGCGCCAGCTGCACCGACGACGTCAGGAATTTCTGCAGCCGGAGTCAAACTGAGGCGGACACCAACGACCCGGCAGGTCACTGGTCCGCCAGACCGATTCACCAACCCCATTACCGTAATGCCGTCTGGAAGAAAACCAACGGCGACGGCAACACGAGACAGACGCTGGAGAAGAAGGCCCTCATCGCGGCACTACCATGGGAACGGGCGAAGGGCATGGCCGAGAATGACCGTATATACCCCCCCTCCTGATAGGGCCTAACGGCGCGGAGCTCACCAATCCAGAGCCAATCCACAAGATCGGCTCCACTCCAAGACGCACCTGAAGATCCCAGCCGAAGCCGCATCTGAACATTCCAAGCCACCAACGAACTCGGTACCGTTGTGGAATCGAGCACGGTGTTGCCAGGACGACTATACTTTACGGACACGCTGGCCACGAGGGGAACAAGAGCCATACAACATCACAGTGACAACCTAATCTTCGACTTCCGCAACCTTCAAATGGCCGCGCAGGCGCGAGCAGACTTCACGCCGACAGGCACGACTCGTCCCGTAAATTGAGGCTACCTTGTGGACGACGGCGAGTTGTATTACGTTCAGGGCTACGAGGCAGAATTTCGCATTCCCGTCGACCACGCCGACGATTTCGAAGTCAGGTATGAATTCCACTTGGGACCACCTTCCAACGGAAACCCGAAGTGGCCACACATGTGCAACCTAGTGTGGCACGCACCAGCAGACGTGGAGGTCGAAGACGGGGCCACGACAGCGACAACAGTGCCGAACAGGACGCGGCACACCGACGCCGTGACGGTGAGGCCCCGACAGCCCCATCAAGCAACATATTGGATCGAGCCCGGCGAGATCATCGACCTCGGATGCACCGAGGCACAAACACAGGACGCCGACAATCCGATGTCTCATGTCGAGTACAACGCCCTCGGGGCCAGGCACAATATTTTCGTGGTCCATCTTAACGAGCACTTCAGTGTCTTCACTGACGACCACGAGGTGCTACTGGATTTGACGGGCTTTGTACCGCGTGAGGGCCATCGACATCATACTCTACTCACTGGCAGGTGCGTAGGTAGCAAGACGCGGAAGATCACGACCACCAAGACGCGATTTCACCTCAACGCCAACCCAGAGCAGACGCGGAATCGTCAACCTAGTGCCACGGCTACACCGCCCAGTCGAGCCGCCACCACCCAATTGCACGCCGCCATCAGCATGTCCACCAGAGCATCGAAAAGAGACCGACCACGAGCTGGCAATGAAGCTAAAAGAATTGTGCATCGGCGGAGGAATGCCGTTCGACCAGAGCTACTAGTGCTCTTGCCCCCACCGGTGGCCAGTGTACAAAAAGGACAACCCGCGCCACTATTGCAGCCAAGTCTGCTACTTCAACACCAAGATCGTCGACCCGCCGACCCGAGTTGGACGACCCGAAGCGAGGAATTCTATGACGACGGCAAGAGCAACATGGCGAGAGACCCTCCGCTGGCCTCACGAGGACAGCGGCAACCACCAGGGCCCCCGAAGCCAAGGACGCCATCACCCCCAGCAAGGTCGGTCCATGTGGACATCTCCGCGATTGACGAGCAGATGGCAAAGTACAATCAGCAGGACGGGCACTGCAAGCACAACATCAACGCGATCAAGACCACCATCACCGGCATGAGCCTTGAGCAACTTGAGCAATTCGTGTTGTACTTGGTTGAGACCCGGCAAACCAAAACCTACGTCGAACATATCATGAATAACCAGGCCGACGACATGAAGGACCCAAGAGGCATCGCCAGAATCATCAACGAGATCCAGATCGCGAACCCACCAGGGCCCCCCAGACCGACGCGCGCGAATCCACCCGATCAGATTCCCATCCTTCCGACCCCTCAGGACCTCCCAACGACAGCACAGCATCATCAAGCCGAATGACGTCGATGAGCGAGATATCTACGACCACATCAACGTGATTGCAGTTGGACCGCCACCGACAGCGCGGAGCGGACCAATGCCCACACCGACAGCATCCAACCTTTCGGCACTTCGCCTGACCGCGACCCCCCCAGCCCACGCGCTTACCACCGACTGAAGTGGCTGGAAGGCCCCACCACCGACTCACATGCTGCACGAACCCGCAGAAGTTCCAGCCAAGCCACCTCTGGCGCGAACGAACGCAGCGCCACTGCACGAGGGCACCCTGCCCCAGGAGGGCGTCTTGTCCCAGCTGGCCGACGGCAGGAACCTAAGCATCGGGGGAGAGCGACCAGGCCAAGCCGCCATGCACCAACGGGCGGCCCTTTCCAAGCCACAGCCGGAGCCCATCCCACCGATTCGCGACGGGGCTCGACCAGCCAGCAGCACGGCAGCCATCTCTTCAGACGAGGCGCCCTGCAAGCCATCGCCAGCAAAGGAAGCTGCTGGACCACAAACCCTAGCAGGCATGGCTACGGTCTACGAAGGGGCGCCGACACCTGTCGAGGAGCCGCACATTGGCATCCGCGCAGGCTTATCCGCCATTGAGCTCCAGCGCGACGTCATTGGGCGCTTGGTCAACACCATCAGCAGTACCGTAGCGCCCGCCATGACCGCACCACTATTCACTATGCATGTCCACAAGCTGGTCAAGGAGGCCATCAAGAAGATCAGCGACCTTGAGGGGACCTACGACTGGACGACCAACCCATGCGCGAACGACCGCACAGGGTACGACCAGGTGAAGACCTACTTCTCCAGATCGCTGGACAACTACATGGGAGAGGTTGCCAACCCACCTGCCCGCGCCCTCGGGGGCCTCGACATGACGGCCAAACAGAGGGGCCCCGCGTTTCATTAGCCATCAGCTTTGCAGCATCACCTCGTACCCAGTGGCCAACGACCGCGCGGACCTGCCAAACCCGTACTACTCAAAGATGGAGCGCGGGGACATGTTCACCTACATCAAGCTAGGAGTGCGCTGCAATCCCGCGGGCATTTCAACGCCCTTGGCGACATCAGCGTGCCAGAGGGATATCGCCAATCACCTGACCGAAAAGATAAACGACCTGACGGCAAGGGTGACCCATCCGACCACAGATAGGTCGCATGCCACGGGCCATGATTTGCCACGCCCCCTCTTGGACGCCCCCCCCCCAAAAAAAAGACGCCTCCGAACCTGCATCCGCCTCCTCCTCATCTCCTCTCCATGGTGTCCCTCCACTTCATCCGTCCCGTCCGTCCCTGCTCCTCGCCTCATTCCTCTTCCTCCCCTTCCTCCTCCCCTTCCTCTTACTACTCTTCTTTTTCCTCCTCCTCCTCCTCCTCCCCTTCCTCCTCCTCCTTCTCCTCCTTCTCCTCCTCTTCCTCCTCCCGACCTAGCCGCCGCACCCAGAACTCCAGAACTCCTCCTCCTCCTCTTCCTCCTTCTTCTCTCCTTTCTTCTCCTTAGCCTCCTCTTCCGTCTCCTCCTCCTCCTTCTCCTCCTCCTTCCCTTCCTCGCCTCATTCCTCTTCCTCCTCCTCCCGTTCCTTCTCCACAATCACATTCTGAATACTACTCCCCTCTCTCCCATGACTCAGTCTGGAAGATAGCCGCTCTCTCCGCGAATTGTTTTTTACACAGGGTTGGACAATGCACAGGTTTCTTATGTCTGTTTGCAATATGATTGAATCCAATGTTTCAGATTGGTGTTCCCACTGCAGCATGGGCCTCATTTTCATGTCGGCGCCTTGCTCCCGTCGTTCAGAATGGCGCTCTCGCCCCCCCACTTTTCTGGATCCGAGTCTTTTTTCATCGTTGTTCCTTTCACGTCCTCTTCCTTTCCCTCCTCATGTTATTCCTTGTGCTCATCGTGCTCTGAGCGTGGCAAGGGCGGCAGGGCCGTGTCAGGCAAAGCGCAGATTCCGGCAGGTACCTAGGCGCTCAAGTGCACCCAGCTTGTCCCTGTTCCTCTCTTCGTCCCCATTCCCTCTCTCTATCCCCCCCCCCCTTCCTTAATCTATTCTGCGATGTGCGACCGTCATCGCGTCGTGGCCGTGGGCCGTGCACGTCGCAGTCCTCGCTCGGCGAAGCACCGCGCCGGGCCTGCAGCACCGTGCGCGGAGCGTGGCCAGAGCGGTAGGCTTGGCATCGCTCGGACGTGTGCATTGTTTTCTCGGCGAGGACCTTCGAGGAGCATCCTCGACCATTTGGCGAAAAAAACACGCACGAAACTGAAAAAAAACACAGGAAATGGACGTCCGAGCGATGGCCAGCAGGAGAGCGTCAGGCCAAGCGCACGCCAGAGCAGGCACACGGGCGCTCGGGCGGAGCACGCGCTCGAGCAAGCACGCGAGCAGACCCACAAGCAGTGCACTGGCTGGCCAACGCTACGCATGTCTCGGAACGACTGCGATCCCAAGCCAGTGCACGCATCACCATGGACCATGGACGTTCTTGTACCCATGTCAGCATTCCCCCTCGAGCACGCTCTCTTCGAAGCCCCTCCAAATACAGCGAAGTGAGCGCGGCCTCTGCAAGACACACTGACCATACTCAGAGTGAAGGGGCAGACCGGTCTTACACCGTCCTTGGGTACTTGGCTCAAGTGGGTTTCCGCGGTACGGGTTCTTGTTGTGTCGTCGAGGTCTCGCCCTGCGACCCACTCGCGGACCGCCCGCGATCCGCCCGAGGATCGACCAACCCGCGATACACCCGCGACTCGTCATCGACCCATCTGCGACACACTGACGAAGCACCCGCGACCTACATCCGCGACCCGCTCGCTCATGCTGGGTTGCAGAAGCATTACCGAATGCGGCGGGCTGTAGTTCCAACGCTTGCGGTCGGTTGTTTTGCATTGGTTTGGAAAAGCGCCCATTATCCTTGCAGCCCGCCCGCAACCCACTCAGCAATCCAAGCACGACCAACCCGCGACTCACCCCGCGACCCACCGGCGACCCACACCACATCCACAAAGTAATCGGCGCCTGCGGCAGGCTTCGTTAATTTGGCGTTCGGACCCCCGAGCATGCAGACGGCACGCCGCGCGACCTACCCCACGCTGCTCTGCACACAGCTTGACGCCTAAGGCGGGCTGGTTCCCCTTGTAAGGACAAGAGCGTCCGATGTCAGCTTCTACACATTCGGCGCTCGAGCTCCTCATGCCAGGCAAGCCAGTGTGGGCGACCCCTTACTCCTATCCGCAATCGCTACACGTGAGTATGGACATTCGTTGGTGGGCGCACGTGCAAGCAGTGCTGAGCGCGAGCACAATGGCAGCGAACAGGCACAGGGAAACAAACAATCGTGCAGTCAGGTGAGTCGTATGTGCGAATGTAGTTACAATGCAGGGGCGACTGATATACCCTCGGTCATGCCTGAACGGGAAGCGGAAATGCAGCTGCCAGACAGGCGCGGCCGAACGAATTGAAGACGTCCGTATGTCTTTCGATTGTTTGAATTGCAGCGGCTGGATGGATGTCGATGGTATCCCAGGCGCAGATCATCTTCAAGAAGTGCGGCGTCGGAGTCCCGAATAACGTTCCGGCCTTCTCGGCATCAGAGGCCGTGGATGAGACCAACGAAGTGCCAGGCGATGAGGCATCCCCGCTGGGGCTGGTGTGCAGTGATGGGGGGAGGGCCGCCACCGGCAAAGTTGGGTCTAACGTGGTGTTCGGTTCTGAAGGTTCTGCGACAGATGTCGGACCAGTGTCAGCTCATGCTTTGCGCGTTCGGTCATTAGCTGCAGGCCCTAAAGACTGCCACATTGCTTTATGATAAATATGTCTATGAGTTCTTCCCTCGTTGCAGCACGCGCAGCGTGAGGGGCAGCAGGGCCTATAGGAGGATGAGAACTTTGAATAATAATGGGAATTGAAGGAGGAATAAGATGAGGATGCGGAGAAGCTGGCGGTTGCGAACGGAAGCAGGAAAGTGTATCCCAAGAACGTGAACGACGACGAGAAAGAAGACAAGTTGGGTGCACTCTCGCCACATATGACATTCGACCCCGCTCACCAGCTCTTCCCCATTTCAATCCGCCAGCTGGGGTGTCCAATAACACCTCGATCCTCACATGGCAGTTGCAGGATTTGACCCATCTATTGCTACGCAATCGGCAAAGGGGGGGGGCTCTTGTACATCGGAGAAGTAGGCGGATGAGCACGACTAAGAGGAGGAAAATAAGGAGGTTAAGGAGCAGCAGCAACAGGAGCAGGAGCAGGAGAAGGAGGAGTAGAATGAGCAAGACGACTAGAGGAAGGAGAAGAAGTGGAAAAGGATGGGGACGGCAACGACGGAGGAATAATTCTGATACAGGAACATAGCCCGCAAAGGATAGGCTGTCTGCGAAATAACGGGACATGTCGACGTACCATCTTAACGGGATGCCCACGAGCCACGGCGGGAGCGTGTGGCGGGCAGAGTTTCGATCATCGTTGACGATTGGTTTTGTTATTTACCGCAGCGGGTAAGCAGACCGCTCGAGCCAACGGTAGAGCCAACATGTGGTCGCATCACCCAGATCATCTTCGCCATGGTCGACAGGGGTTCGAAACCATCCCGCGATGCAGTGGTTTGGCTGTCGAGGGAGTTTGACAAGATTGCCTAGTATCTCGTCAATGGCACGACGGAAGAGAGCAATCCGTGGGCAACTATTTTCCCGAGCGTGCTGACATATCCCGCCGACGCGCACAGTCGCAAAGACCAGTGCTCACCGGCGGCATGCTGCATCGACGCCGTGTTTGTGTGGGGGGCCAGACACAGGCTTGCACCCAAGCCTTGATTGCCGGAACTTCTCGTGCAGGCCCAGCGCCGTCTTTGCGCGCAGAACCCCTTGGCTGGGACGAGGCCGTCCAGGCTCTTTGAGAAGTGCCAGTTTGTCGCGCGCAGCCGCCGCAGTCGTAGTCCCTGGGGGGAGAACGAAAGACACGTACACATCCCGCGATGGAGCGAGAGCACAATGCCTCCATCTGTGACGCGCGGGCCCCGCGTTTTGGCGAGCACTCCGAGCGTGCAAGGGCCTCGAGCCTCGAGCCTCGAGGCTCGAATTTTCGGGGAAAGATTTGCGCGCCAGCGAGGCGGCCAGCCCCGCAGCAATCCTCGAGCCTGGAGCCTCGAGCCTCGAGCCTCGATCCGCGACACTCGAGCCCCCGAGCCTCGAAGCTCGAGCCTTGAGCAGTGAGCCTCGAGCCTCGCGTCTCCTTCACCCTTCGATCGACGAGGCATGTCGGTGGAGCGAAATAGTCGGAGGTGGATAGACCTCCTACCCTGACACGTCGAGTAAGGAAGTGGCCGCTTTCGGGGCGCGAGAGGGCGTCGCGGCCGTCATTTTTGCGGGTCCAGGGTCCGTCGGTTTCGGTCCCAGGCCGTTTTCACTAAGGGGAGGTCTACGAAAGGGAGGTTTGTCTACCGCCGAAATAGCACGCAGGAGAGGAGGTAGTCCAGCTGCACCATCTTGAGGTGGATACCAGAGTGGTATTCATCCTGAGCCGTTGCCACATCGTGTGGTGGATCAGGGCGGTGAGATCGATGAGGGCGACGCGAATGAGGAGGAGGACGGGGAGGAAGAGGACTTGCAGGATGGAGAGCAGGCGGGAAAGTGGAGGAGGGGAAAGGAGCATGAAAACGGGAGGGGGAAAGTGGCAGCAGGGGGAACATGATGAAAGGAACCTGATGGCACGAAGGCAGGGGAGGAAACGACGATGAGGGCGAGAAGAGACACCATCATGTAGATGACGTGGCCGTCAGGATCAGAAGCACTTGGTAGTGTCGGAAAGTGGCGCGTCCTTGTGCTATCCCAGCTGGTCGACAACTCTGGGCAAGAGCAAGGACCCACCAGCCACTTTTTGGATGCTCGCTAGTTCATGGTATGCTCCTCATCCAACGTGTTATCTCATCCCCGCGTCAGACTGCATCACGGAGTAAATTGACGTGGGATCTATGCTGCGGCCTCATCCGCCCCGTCACCTTCCACGGGCTCAAGGGGCCAGGCCACCTAGTGCTGTGTCGTCGCCGCCGCAGCAAGTATGTCTTCCTCCCAGGATTCCGTTGCCGTGTAGCCATGGGCTCGGCTGCCGCACGAGAGGTCCCCCTTGACACAGGAGATGGTGTGTCGGACACCGCCGATGAAGGAGATGCTGCGTCTGATGCCCCCGACACAGAAGACAATGCACCAGAATTTCCCGACGCGGCGGACTACGACCAGCGATTGCAAGATGTCCTCGAGTCGATCAACGCCTTTATCGACAAGTGTAGTCTGGCGGAAGACGTCGAGAACGTGCAAAAGGCGATGGACTACCTGTACATCTCCGAGAAGTCAATCAAGCGCCTCGTGGACCAGCTGGGCCAGTCTGTGGAAGGCATGGGCGAATGGCGTGAGCAGCAATATCAGGACATCCGGAACAAATTCTCTCAGATTTTGATGAAAACATTGGAAATTTCCCCCGAGTTCAACCATTGCATAAACAAGAAGAGGGCTGCGGCCAGCATCATGATGCTCATTCACGAAGATTTGCAAGCCATCGACAATCCAACGGAGGCTACAGTCCCAGAGAGTCTGCGAGATTACCGAAGGCAGGCATATGAAAGCATGAGAAAAGGGACGCAGATGGACACAAACAAGCTTGGGAGTCTTGGGCAGATGCACAAAGACTTGATCAACATGATCTCGGAAGAAATCAAAGAGCTTGACGCCCAGATCAAAAGGACAGGCAGCGAGCGGACAGGCGAGGGATGGCGCAGGAAACAGCTGCAGAATTTGTTGCGTGTGCTCAGGGTGATCGCTTTCGTGACACTTGCGGGGACCGGCGTGGGACTAATAAAGCCCAGTGTGAGAGCAGTGGCAGCAGGATTTACCGTATATGCGGCTGTCGATGTGAAGATAAAAAAGGCATTGAAAGAAAAAGATTGCAAAGTTCAGGAGGCAAGTCTGAAATGTGAGCGCATGCTCGAACGCAACCAGCGCTACAAGGAGGCAGCCTCGGGCTTGCAGCGAGGCCATGCTGCCACGGTAAACCTGAACCACCTTCTGGGCATGATCGGCGATGACCTCGAGGGGTTCTGCCTGCACAGAGCGGCGTGGCCGTTGCTCAAGGAGCCTCGCGTCCCCGTGCTTGTCAAGGAGTACCTGAAGAAGCTGGACGAGTTCAGCAGCAAGAACAACGAGTTCGCGAAGCTGACGCGGGACATCTGGGCGGAGTGGATGCGGATACCCAGCGGCCGCCGTCCCGACGTTCCAGCAGCGGAGCCGGGGAGCATGGCACGAGTGGCGTCGACGGAGGCAGGGGACCCGTCCGCAACGCCGCAAGACACTGCAGGGGCACTCGGTGCGCCAGCACTGCCGGTGGGCGTGGCAGGCAGCGAGCCTGAGGCGCCGCTGGGCACCGAAGGCACGCCCGCGCCGCGGATCAGTCTGGTGGGCGATGAGGCCGCAGCAGTCGCGCTGCGTGATGCGGGCGCGCTTGGGCAGCCCCTGGCTCCAGAGGGCGACGAGCCCGTGGCGCCCGCGGAGGACAGCGGCACGCCCGAGGCGCCGCCGGAGGATCCGGTGGGCGACCTCTCCACGGTGCAGTCCGAGGGGGGCGAGGACTCCGAGGTGCCCTCGGAGTACGCAGGCACATTGGACGGCTACGAGGCTCGGGAGGGTGCGCAAGGGGAGCACGTTGCAGCAAGCGTTCAGGAGCAACTTCGCGTGGCCCCCTCCGCCCCCCTTGGATTCAAAATGGAACAGGCGTTCTCGGAGAAGCGGAGCTGGCAAATTTCTGAACCGAACAACATATCGAACGCACGACTTGCCAATGTTCAGGCTGGGGGGGAGGGGGAGAGTTTGCTTCTTTCTAGCTCAGGCGTTGTTGTTGGCTGGTGCCAACGTTTCTCCTTTAACCGTATACCCAGGTTCTCGCCGGCCAGGTTCCGTACCGGGCCCCCTCCTGTAGTCAGGGAGAGAAGGGGGACAGAAGGGAGGCGAGGACAGGTAGGGAAGGGTGCAGGGACGCCTGGGGAACTCTGACAGGGAGAGAAAGGATGCAGAAGCGCAGAAGCAACCTTATCCCAGGGCACCTGGGTCTGTGGGGTCGAGCCTGTCAAGGGCAACGTTGGGGGAGATAAGGGGTTCATGGGGGGGGGACGCACCGGCCCACAATCGCCCACTGATCGCCGATCGTGTTCCCACTCCGCCCAGGAGCATGCGGTTTCGCTGCTGGAGCTATCGGCGAGGTATCGCCGAGTCAAGCTCGATGCTCCCCCCCCCAACCAGAGCTGCCCCGCCAGCGTTGCCCCATCAGATGAAGAGAGCCGGCGCCCGCGGCGGGCTTCGGTCCTGAATATGAAGTTTGTGGGCCAGGGCAGATCTCTCACTCCACTCCATTCCGCGTCGGCGGGGTCATGTGTATATGCGTATTGGCACCTGTCGTTGCATATTCTGTATTTCAGTATGCGTACCCATCGGTCGTTGAAAGTAGTTTGTTTGGCTTCCCACTTTCCAATTCACGCTAGGCGCCTTAATGCTTCAAGAGGCTGCGGTTGTCCCTCTTCCCTCTTAACGAGTGGCCATGCGGAAGCCCAAATCTCCTTTCAACGCCTTGCTAATCCATATTCCTACCAACTTCTTCCGACCGATGGGCAAGCACACGGCACGCGGTGTGGAAAAGGGGCGTGGTGGAGGAGGGGGGGGCGCCGGGCGATGGGGAGAGGGGCGGGGAAAAAGGGGACGGCTGGAGGGAATGACGTTTGGACTGGCGGAGGGGAACGGAACGCGCCTGGCGTGGAAGGACGTAACCGTCTGGAAGATTGAAGCGGGACGGCGATGAACAACGTCGACGAATAGAACACGAGGATACTGTTAACGACGATGGTCCAGCTAGTCGAATGACGTGAGCAGCCGATCATGACATAGCTGGTAGTCGTGATGGTGGTGGTGGCTGTGACAGGGGCTGGCAGACCCTCCTCCCAGGTGGTCGAGGACGGGGCGTCGGACCGGCTCGCTGCGGGGGCTGGCGTCGCCGAACACATTCGGGCGGCTCAAGGGGTGAGGCCAGAGCCAGGATAGCTCCCCTCCCTCTTCCCCCCACCCTCCCTTTCCCCCTGTATTCTCTCCTTCGTTTCTCGTGAACCGTTCCGCATCCCAAGTCGGGCGCCAGGGCAGGGGCTGGTTCCGGGGTCTCTCATTTGCCGGCCCTGGCCCGGTTCCCGCCGCGCACCACGCAGGCATACAGATGAAAATCAATCAATCACTTCATAGACGGCTGAATCAATGAATGAATCTATAAGTAACAGATAAATGAGTCAATCGTTAAAAAACACCCTGCAGCCTGTATGAATACAAAGATGTGCGCACCTGCCTAGACCCCAGATCCGCAGAATAAATGAATTGGTGGCCTGGCGCCCGTCTCCATGCAGCGGCAACCGACGCCCCGCAGCTGCTGTTCCACCTCTGACACCTGCCCAGCAGCAGCACCCATGGATCAGCCTCCCCCGCTTGGCAGAAGCGCCTTGCGTCCCATGCAGCCCAGCAGAGCACGCCCCACATACTGAACGTGCGCGGCCCCATGGCGTGGCCCGAACAACGCCCTCATCAGCTCCAGTTGCCACCCGCTCGGTGTCGCGCCGACGACCTTTTCCAGCTCTCGGAAAAGCGTGAGGGTGCCCTCACACGCGCACAAGGCATGGGAAAGGGCTTCTCGCGCGCTTCCGCAAGCCATGCACTTCTCCAGTTCCCGCGGCACGTCGTCGCTCCCAACCACCTGCAGAGACCAGCGGCTTGAGAAGCGGCACGCCCCCCAAATGCGGCACACTAGGGGGCCGACCTCCATGGCCCGCTCCGCCCGCGCATGCCTCCGCGCCGCTTCCCGCAGGATCGCTGCCGGGTGCCCCTGCGGCAGGACCCACAACCGCGCGCGCGCGCCACGAACGCCTGTTCCGACATGCGTGTCCCGAGGCGGAGTTCCCAACTGCACTGCGCCTGGCACAGCGCCCACTTCAGCCTGGGACCCTTCCTGCAGGCCAAACTAGTTCGCGCCCAGTGGTACTGGAGCCGGTTGAGGTCAGTCTCAATGCCCTCGACTCCTATCAACATAGCCGCGCCATACAGCACCCCCGGCTCCACGCGCAGCGAGATCTGCGCGGCCACGACAGAGGGTGGGACCCCCCCTGCATCGCACGCCTGAAAGAACTCATCAAACGCCGCCCTGCCTTTGGCCGGCACCTCCCGCGAGCACGGCACGAACGGGAGGTCGGAGTCCGTCTCGATCCCCACGGGTGCGTGGCAAGTCACCTCGTGGAGCCCCCGGCCCTCCGTGTGGAGCGCCGGGCTCCCACTGACTGCCGTGCGCTCTGACTCGCCCGGCCCGCAGTCGAAGGCCGCCCTCTCCAGGCCGGACCGCACGGAGGCGGACCGCCTTGACTGGTCCAGAGCCGCCATGACCGCGCCCGCGGACGGGCAAGGCACCGCAGCGTCGTCAACGTGCTTCACCGGGCCCAGCTCCTGCGTACCTCGGGTTGGCCCAAAAGGGGGTCCAGCGACAAGGGGGTGGTGCAGTAGATTTGGTGCAATATATTTGTGGGGTTGCCATACATTTTGGGCGTGCAATACATTCCGGGGCGCACATGTATTGCTGGATTGTCGCGTGCAATACATTACGTGCAATACAATGCAATACAATTCTCCGGCGCAGTATATTTGCAACACAATTGCCTCCAATCGATTGCACCACCCCCTTGCAGCTGGACCCCCTCTTGGGCCACCCAAAGTACCGCCGAGCTCAGCCACGGTCGCCCGGTCCGCTGGGCACGGGGAAGGAGCCCACTGCGTCACGGCTTCGCGTTTCGACCGTCAGGTTCTCCCGCGCTGGAGGGCCATCCCTCAAGCGCGCCGCGCAGACCTGCTGCGCTTCCACGGGCGCGCGTCCCGCACCCACTCTGGCAGACACACGCCCTGCAGCCTCTCTAAAAGCAACCCTGCAGACTGCAGCAGCGAGGTAAGGCGCCGGCACGCTGAACTGGAGCCCCTGGGCGGTGCCGCAGGCGAGCACGAGCACCTCCGACAGCAGGCCGTGGAGTGCCAAGACCTGCTCATCCTGCGCCAGGATGCCGTCGAGAAGTAACCAGTCCCGCGTGCTCACACCCGCCCTACGCACATTCAGGAGCGTGCCAGCATGCCTCGCCACGTCGAAACCCCATTGGAGGTCCAAGCACACCAAGTTAGTGACAAGGCCTTGGCACCTCCTGAGCTCCAAGAGGACCGCCACCGCGATGACAATTGACAAGGGGCTGGAGGCCCCCCCCACCTGCCCCCCCCGCACCAGACCTGGATCTTGGTGAAATTCTGGTCCAACCAGAGAGCGTCTTGCACCTGCGCCATGTCCGAGTATATTGACACCTGATGGAAGCACCTGGTGGACCTCACGAGCTTGGGACTGCATTTGTGGAGGGGATGTACGTACGAAGAGACCGGAGGCTGGATGTGATCCCCATGTGGCGCGCAAAATTGACGAGTTCGGCCGCCACTTGCCTGTGCGCCAGGACCCTGGACTTCACGGCTGCAGCGGCGCACCCCAGCGCAGCCCTGCCCCGCCCGCAGCCGCGAGATGGCCCGCGCCGTGCCCCAGCTTTTGCTCGCATCGGAGGGCCGCCTCTATAGATCCCTTGGGGAGTCGTTGTTCGCGCGCCCCTGGAGGCCCTCCACCAGCACTCGCAGCATCTGCTTCGTGCCTCGGGAGGCCCCAGAGTCCGCGTCCAGCAAGGCCACCCGGAAAGCCGAGCCGGCCTTGAGCCATGCCGAGTGGCTCCTCTCCGCCGCCTCCGGGTCGCGTTCCGAAAGGGAAGCGCATTTTCGGGACGCCGCCCGCAGGGCTCTCCACGCTGCTTCCGCGTTTTGAAGTCCTCGAACGGCTCGACATCCTTAGGTGAGGGCCCCCAGGCTGCCACGAGCGGCGGATCGGGACGCAGACAACGACCGCCCCTGCAGAATGGCCCGCGACCGCCCCCGTAGGGTGAGGAGGAGGAGGAGGAGGAGGAGGAGGAGGAGGAGGCGGAGGAGGAGGAGGAGGAGGAGGGGGAGGAGGAGGGGGAGGAGGAGGAGGAGGAGGGGGAGGAGGAGGAGGAGGAGGAGGAGGAGGAGGAGGAGCAGGAGCAGGAGGAGGAGGAGGAGGAGGAGGAGGAGGAGGCAGCGCCGCACGGGGGCGACCAGCGCCGCGAGGCTCTCCAGAGCTGGGGCGACAGCCTGGAGGGCACCGTCCCGCTCTTCCGCAGACGGCCACGCCCCACGACCGCCTGGCACTCGCACTATCGCATTGCAGCGCGATTGGCATCGTCCCGGCCACAAGACGGTGCCCGGACCCCGCGACAGACTCCAGGAGCAGCACCGCCAGGGCACGAGGGGGGGCGCCACGAACACGTCAATCGCGGTGCTTGCAGCGCGGGTTGGGGCTCGCGGGCTCCGGAGGCTCCGCCCCGCCTCCGAGACGGCGGCCTCCACCGCTCGGCCCTCTGCCGGCTGATGGCAGTGCAAGCGCCGGCAGCCGCACCTGCGGTCCAAGAAGCTTGCCCATTGCACGCTACCATCCCCCACGAGGAGCCACGCTGCAGGGCACGCCTCCGTCAGCGCCCGAGGGATCTTCACCACCTCCTGCCAAGTTTGCGCACCACCTCTGGGGGCCGCGCAGCATAGAACCCGCGCGCGTGCACCACTGGGCCCGCCGGGGGCCCGCGGATCTGCAGTGTGCGCCAGCGCTCCCCGCAGTGCTCCTCCAGCGTGTAGTTATCAGGAGGAAAAGAAACACACAGACACAATTAATCCTCGAGTCCCAGAAAAGATGGGAAAATATGGGAAGTGGGGGGAAGACGAAAACCCAGAACACATGGGAAAATATGGGGAATATTTTTGTTTGTGTGTATTTATTTGTGTGTCCCAGGGCCCCTTCAAGTTAGCCCTCGCGAGTCCCGCCTGGAGGAAAGAGCCCACCGAAGCAGGAGCCGACGTCTGCCGCCCGACCCACACGTACGGGAAGCCGCCAGGGAGCCCTGCGATATCCCACAGCCGCCAGTGGAGCAGTTCACCCGTGCCGACGCCCGCCAGACCCGCCTTGCCCGGGCAATGGGTGGCGATGCGCAGCTCATGGGTCGACGGCGCCACGCTCGGCCCTGCATCGGGCCCGGCCGCGGCAGCGACGTCGTCGCCACCAGCGTGTGCAGAGATCGCAGGTGTCGTACTCCCCCCTTGTCCTCGCAGCGCCAGAGCCGCCTCCGTCCGCAGGAAGGTCCCAATCTTTATCAGGAAGGCCGCCAGTGCCGTCGCCCTGGGAGTTTGACCATTGGCCGGATGGTGACCTCCGGTGCCAATCACGCCTGGACGTCTTTCATCAATATTGCCCTCTCATGTCGTCTGGACTGGCCGCTTGCCAACTGTGCAAGCATGCCAAGTGTGCAAGCATACAAGCATGCCCCCGCCTCCCCTGGCCATCCACGTGTTTCCACATCCCCACCACTTCCGTTTCCCTTTCCCCGTCACTCTCCCCATTCTCCCTTGGTTGTCGAGTTGGTTACGGTTGATCTATACGTCCCGCTTGCTCGTCCTGCAGATGTCGGTCGTGAAGCGCACGCGTGCCAATGCTTCCGTGTCGAGTTCGACCTCCAGACGGAGAGCGAATCGTGAGCTCGGGGTTGTCCAGGCCAGGCTCAGGCCATGGCCGGTGGCGTCCACGGGCCTGCACGCGTTCTGCCGAGGCGTCTTCCTGGAACGACTGCGGCTTCAGCTCGACCGGGTGGTGCTGATTCCACGCTTCGTCGGATAAACATGAGGATGCGAATACTGCGCCAAGCTTTGATTCCGCGCCGAATGTGGACTTGCATGCGCAGGCAGCCCAGCACCGAACGCTGTTCTTGCCTCCGGCGTGTTGGCAATGCTGCACGTGGACCTGACAGTGATCCATGAGTCGTCACATGGCCCACAGGCTCACATGTTGTTTTTAACTGCATCTACTGCCGCTCTGATGTAGCATGTTTCTCGTGATATGTTTCCTTATTCCCAGGACAGTCGGTTTGTAGATCGGAATCGTCGTCTCTTGTGTATGCATGCTTTATGGTTGGTGATTGTGAACACCCTTGTGAGTAGCGTGAGCAACTGGTTCTTCTGGGATACCACGTCGCCGAGGAGGCCCGATACTAGAGGTTTGGTGCTTCATCGCTGGGGACCCTTAGTCGTGCCGCTGTGCGTCTGGTCCTGTCGCCGAGGAGGCCCGATACTAGGAGGTCTGGTGCTTCATCACTGGGGGCCCTTGGTCGTGCCGCTGTGCGTCTGGTCCTTGTTCTGCCTCCGCGGGCCTTCCGTTGTTTGTCCCAACCTTCCCGTATGACCGGGTCCTCGTTTTCTCTCCGCAGCGCCGCCCTTACGCCTCATTCCCTCTCCTCCTCTTCCAGTTCGGCTTCGTTCATCCTACATCTGTTCTTGGCGTTCGTTTCAATGCTTGACCCGACGTCTTGGATCTCATTTTTCAGTTCTACGGTCCCAACACAATGCTAACGTCGCTGAACCAACGAGTCGTTGTGTTTGCGTTGTGAGCCACGTTTTTCCAGCGTGTTTTGATCAGTTGGTTGCGTTGTTTAACATTATCGTGAACGACGTCCTCAGTTCATTCTCCTTGCGTCAAGTCCTCCCCATCGCATTCGTATGTTTGCTTTTGCTCTTCTGATCGTCGCTGCTGGCTGGTCGCGGGGCCTCCAGGCCTGTTTCGCGCCAGCGTTGGACTGGTGTTAGCGTATCTGTTTTTGTTGTGTTTTATGATCTGCGCGCGGAGCGGCTGGAGCGGGAGACAGGAACGGGAGCGTGGGAGCGAAGACGGCAGGGAAGACAATGAGCAGCCCTCGACAAGAAACAAACATCGCGAAGCAAAATTGATCCACAGGGACGGGCCTGAAAACGCAAACAGAACACGAACGTCGCCGTATTAATTTGCTACACTGCGCACTTTTTATCAGCGTGTGTAGCCTGTTGAGAACCCAAAGTGCAAAACGGTAAACAAACAACACATACCTACAGAACAAACCCACGGCGTTCAGGATAGCGCCCGAAAGGGAGCTCGACCTACGCATGTGGTCCCTTCACCCATTTCGGCACACCCCTCACACGGATCGCGTCCAAAAGGGAGTTCCACTTGCAGTTGCAGTCAGAGTGTCGGCCTGCGGTCTCTTCGCCCATTGCGGCACACCCCTCACGTGGATCGTTCCCGAAATGGAGCTCAGCCTACAGTTCCAGCGAGGGCGCCCGCATGCGGTCCCTCGCCGTCTTCTGCACACACCATGCTCAGTTTCCACACTCCTCACACTGATTGCGCCTGACAGACGATTCCATCTACAGGTCCAGTGGGAGCGTCCGCATGCGGTCTCCACGTCATCTCCGGGACACACGCACACACACCCACACACTCGCACTTTTGGCGTCGCGGCCACGCGCGCGGTGGCGCGGCGGAGAGCCAGTTCCGGCGGAAGAGCACACACACACACACAGCTCACACGGATCTTGCCGCGTAGGGAGCTACACCTACAGTTTTTGCGAAGGCGCCCGCATGCGCTCGCCATGCCCTTTCCGGTACACCCGAACACGGACCGCGTCTTGCACCTTTCTCACACGTGCTACGTGCCGCGCACAAGGAGATCCAAGCATTTCCCGAGAGCGGGTGTGCGCACTGCGTCGCTCGGCCCACTTCGACACCCCCTCACGCGGATTGTGTCCCATAGGGCTCCAGTAGGGAAGCGCGCACAGCGTCACCGCTGCCATCTACCCACACGCCTCGGGGTTCAGAGAAGGAAAAAGCTTGCCAATTTTCAAACATGGGCTCTGGACACCAGCTTGTATTTACCGGGCGCACTACTTGTGCTCTGTTCCTACAATTGATGGTTATCGCGCATGGTGTTTCGCGGTGCATGTCGGCAGCGTGTCGCGGGTGCTTCGCACACACATTGCGATTGCCGTGAGGGCTTCCTTGTTGGAAGCACACCTCGGGTAGTGCGCAAAAACTCGGAGTTCCATATTTCTCCCAACCCTCCTGTGGGGTCGACTCTTGTTTTGAATGCGCAGCGCCGCGCCTCCCTCTCGTCCTCACACTCCTCCCCGTCCTCTCATCCATGCCGCTGCTGCTGCCTTAATAGGCAAGATTTTGGCATGAGGATCCCTCTGGGATCAGGAGGGGCTATGCTATTGGGGCCGCTTCTCCGATCTAGGACGAGGGACCTGTTCATGGCCGAGACTCGCAGTGGCCAGAAAAAGGCCCCTTCGTTCCTTGTCCAGTGTTCCTTATGGTAATGCGATGGCTGGACCGGCACCTAATTCGACACACCCTTCACGCGGATCTTGCTCGAGGGGAGTTTCATCTAGCAGCTGCAAAATGCTGGGCCTGTTGCCCAGAATATCTCGAGAAAGCGAATCCAGAGCAGCATCCAGCACGGAAAATGCAGACTGGTTCCCCATTCTGTCTGGCTTCCTGTGTTGTGCGGGTGGACAGAAGAAGCCGCTGCATTCGCATCATCAGAGTACAGTGCCGTTTTTTCATACATGCTCCGCGTGCGGATCATGTATTTTTTTTAAAAATGGGTTGTAGTACTAAAAACAACGATGAGTTCATGCACGAATTTACTCATAAATTAATGGTGTATTAAAAATCATACGGTTTTCAAAATCATATGTATAAACAACTGCCCTGTAATACGCAACGCTGCGCGGCCACGAGGATGCTTCCTGGGCCCCTTCCTCCCGCGGCGCTGCCACGCCCTCCGTCCTCCCCCCCCCCGCTTCCCTGCCTCGCCCTCTCCCCCCGCCTCCCTGCTCGCCCCGCTCCTCTCCCTCCTCCGCCACTCGGCATCGCTCGGACGTGTGCATACGTAAGTATTTTTCCTCGGCGGGAACCATCGAGGACCATCCTGGACCATCGAGCAAAATATTTGCACGCACGAGACCCGAGAAAAGGCACGGGACCTGGACGTCCGAGCCATACCGAGGCCGCGCCTCCACCACGGAGGAGCTCGAGCCCGCTCCCGGCGAATTCGCGGTGCCCGCGGCGCCCCTCCCCCGTCGCCGTCTCTCGTGGCGGGCGCCCGCGCGGCTCCGTTTCCCCGCGGGGGCCTCCGCGCACAGAGGCTCGCTGCCGGCCGCGAGCTGAGCGGCGCCCCGGCGAGAGGGCGGGAAGGAGCCGGAGGAGGAGGAGGGGGAGGGGGAGGAGGAGGAGGAGGAGGAGGAGGAGGAGGAGGAGGAGGAGGAGTAGGAGGAGGAGGAGGAGGAGGAGGAGGAGGAGGAGGAGGAGGAGAGGAGGAGGAGGAGGAGGAGGAGGGGGGGAAGGCAAGGCAGCAGCAGCAGGATCAGCCGCTGGGGCAGGAGGGGGAGGAGAGGCAGGGGCAGCGAGTGCAACGAGGAGAAGGGTGCTAGGGACGAGGAGCACGAGGAGGAGGAGGAGAAGGAGGAGGAGGACAGCGAGGGAAAGTGGAAAGGGGGATGGGGAGGCTGAGAAGGAGGAGGAGGAGGAGGACGAGGCGGCAAGGACTTTACATATAACCTAGTTTTATCCACCTACCCCAGGGGCAACGGCCCCTCACAGGGGTGGGCTGCGTCGTATTCGACATTGGAGCCAGCAGCGACATTGATAGGCAGCAGAGGGGACGGCAGAGACGCAGAAGCAAGAGCAAGAGGAGAGGGGGTTCGATCCAGGGGAGGAGGAGGATGAGGATGAGGAGGAGGAGGGCCTAGCGAGCAGGATAATAATAGTAGTAATAATAATAATAATAATCATGATAGTAATGATATGATGATGATGATGCTGATGATGGTGATGATGATGATGATGATGATGATGATGATGATGATGATGATGATGATGATGATGATGATGATGATGATGATGATGCGGAGGAGGAGGAGGAGGAGGAGGAGGAGGAGGAGGAGCATTGGTAATCATGATGTTGCTGATGGTGATGGTGGTATTGGTGCTGATTATGTCGAGGATGTTGTTATTGATGTTTGTGACGGGTATGATGCTGGAGGTAACAGTGGTGATGGTGATGGTGAAGATGATGTTGATGCTGATGTTGTTTACGATGATTGTGACCACGGTACTGATGGTGATGTTGGCGGTAACAATGGCGACCATCTTGATGAGTATGATAGTGATGGTGGTGTTGATGATGATGATCGTGAAGATGGTGGTGGTTATGATGATGGTGGTGGTGATCGTGGTGGTGATGATAATGGTGCGCATGGGTGTGATGGGTATAGATGGTGGTGATGGTGTTGATGATTATGGTGACGATGAAGACGATGTAGCTGCTGCCTATGATGCTGGTGATGCTGACGATGGCGATGACGATGACGATGATGATAATGATACTGATGAAGGTTACGATGAAGATGAAGATGAAGTTGATGATGAATATTCGGCTGACGATGGAGATGAAGAGGGTGATTATGATGATGGTAGTGATGGCGATGCTGATGGTGATGATGATGATGGTGATGTTGATGTCGGTGCTGCTGATGCTGATGATGCTGATGATGCTGATTATGCTGATGATGATGGTGGTGATGTTGATGATGGTGATGATGATGATGGTGGTGATGATAACGACGTCGACGACGACGATGATGATGCTGCTGTTGATGATGATGATAATGTTGACGATGCTGCTGCTGATGCTAGGGGTGATGCTGATGATGAAGATGATGATGGTGGTGATGATGCTGCTGATGATGCTGATGATCATGGCGATGATGATGACGATGATGCTGATGATGATGGTGATGATGACGATGATGATGACGATGATGATGATGATGATGATGATTATGATGATGATGATGCTGATGATGATGCTGATGATGATGATAATGATGATGATGATGAT